AAAGAAAAACCCATGCAAACACCAATTTGAGATGTTTTATACGAGTGCACGTGACATTATTTACTGAATGACATAATCTTTTCCATCTGTTCATGAACTGTAACATATAAGAGTATATAATATTTTTCACATTACTCTTTCTTAGGACTGTTAAAAATTAAGAGTACATTATATATACAGTTGAATTTAATTGATACCATGTTCGAATGCAGTAAAGGGAATGCATTTGTTATGGTGAATTTCCTTCCCCTATCAGAAGTCTTCCTTCTATTAACATTTAAAATGAAGCCTGTCATCTGAAAACTATGACCGTATCTCTGTTTTTCCTGACTGTTTAGTATTGTACCACTACTAAAGTACAGATTATCCCATAATCTAACACGTGTACTACATATCACTGTAAAGCTCCATAACCCATCATCCTGTCAGAGAGTGAGTGGCCAGCGAATTTGGCTCTTTGCTATGGACTTCTGATCTGCACACCTCCACATTTATTGAGCAGTAAAACAAATTTCGAACCTCCAGCCAGAGTAAGTTTATGGTGCATTGGTTTGTGAATGAAAACAATGCTATCAAAAAGAAAAGAGAAACTGCTGGCTAATTACTTCCGTATTCTACAATAGTGTTGATTTCTATGACATTAAAGGTGTATGATATTTCTAGACTATGCTGGGGCTGCTAGATTGACAATAAGATCAGAGGGAATTATTCAGCTAGCTAAGTGTTAACTCTTACAACTCACTGAAAAGAATACTTGGCAAAGTCTCGGCTGATCTCCATAGCTAATTTATGTTTTTGTTTGTTTTATTAGAAAACTTAGACCCATGTGTTTCATGATCAAAGCACTCCCAGGTAGCCAAATATTGAATATTTATAAAACCAATAACCATGAGCCTAGGTTTTTTTCAGTGAAAATACTACTTTTATTTTTAAAGTTCTTCATGCCACTAGATAGTTAATGATCTCATCTTTGTACATACTATTTTGGCATTTAACGTTTTCCAAGTGGGGGAATAGCTGCCAACTACTAAAGGCTTGCTGAAATGGTCTGAATATAATTTAGAGTACTGGAAACAATGTTCTAGGTTAATTCCAGTGGTGTTCCTGATCTCAGAAAATTATTGCTCTTTCTGGTATTGTCATAACCTTCATTGGTTATGATAGCCTGAAGATCTCCCATGATAAATGAAGTATGAGATACATAAAAGAAATTTCTTTCAATACAAAGTGCTCAAACAGTGATTTCAAAAGATAATAAAGTATAAATTACAGAATGGCCCAGGTCGGTAGATTGTGTACATTTGGATTTCTTTCTTTCTTTCTTTTTTTTTTTTAGACATGAGGCTAGAAACTCTGCACTATTCAGAAAAAGGTAAGCCAAATTATACATTTTCAGAGGCTGTTTTATATGAAAATTGTTAAAAACATTGGTGTTTGGTGTTTTCCTTTTTATCTCTTTCTTGTTCAGATTAAAACAAACAATAGATAAGGCAACTGAAAATGAGTATTCAATATTTGTTTTGACACACTATTAGTAGTTACTGAAAGCAGGATTAAATTTTATTATTCCTTCACTCAACCATCCATTCAGCAAACACCTAATGACCACTCAAGAGCAATTCCTCTAACATTTTTTATTGCTTTCCAATGTGCCAGGCACTGGGCTAAACATTTTAGGTGCATTGTCTCATTTAATTCTAACAGCAACTCTATGAAGTTTTATTTTTATTTCCATTTTAAGTACAGGAAAGAGAGGCACAGCAAGATTGAGTAACAGTGTCACAAACTAGTCAGCGAGGGGTGACAAGTCACAACTCTTCTCCAGGCTCCCCACTGTTGTTGTTAAAGTACTGTCCAGTCAGTTTCGATACATAGCAACCGTGCATAGGGTTTCCAAGGAGCGGCGGGTGGGTTTGATTGTACAGTGCCACACTGTGTGCACATTTGTTGTTGTTAAGTACTGTTGAGTCAGTTCTGACCCATAGTGAGCCTGTATAGTCGATAGAGATGTACTAAACCGGAAGCATGGGGCCATGGACCTGGTGACTCTAATAAGGGCAGCTCAGGCAGAGTTTGGAACTGCGACTCTAATGCCAAGCCAGGACTGGGTCTTGGGGAGTACAAAGATTCACTGAGTTCAGAGGCGAGCTGAGTGTATAAGTACTAAGGTGGCAGAGGTAGGAAGAAGTAGAGGTGTAGATGAGGAGCCAACAAGTAAATAGTAACAACACAGTGCTCTTTCCCTATGTCTTCCCATTTTCACCTACTCATCTTTTCAGTTTCAAGTGAAGGTCAGCTTCTCAGAGTTGATCACCCTACCATTTATTGTTATTGCAAATGCTATAACTTACATATTAGTTTATTGTTTGTTATGCCTGTCTCTCAGATTAGAATGACAGCTCCTATTCACTGGTATATGAGACTTCAAAAAGTCCTTAGAAAAATAAAATGAAAAGATGGTGGATTTTTCCCATGAAGCCTTCTCGTATGCCTAGAACCTAACAAGAAGAACCTTCACAAAATTTGTGGAAAAAATCCATTATCATTCAATTCCATTTTTCCATGGACTTTTTGAAGTCCTTTTGTATGTGTATGATACACAGTAGACTCTTAAAGACATTAGTAATAAGCCAATTGCAGAGGCTTGCCAAGGAGGCATAAAAGCCTTTCACTCCTCAGAAGAAGAAGAATACCAAGGAAAGCCTTACAGATAAGCTGAACTAGGTCTTGAGGTATAAATAAGGATTCTCTAGGAAAACAAAGAGGTGAAGGCAACTATGTCAAGTGAAGGAAATGCCACATGTAAAAGTAGGTAGATATGAAACAGCAAAGACACTGCAAGCCATTTTGTGTGGCTAGAGTAAAACAGAACAAGGACGTGGTACCATTCATTCATTCCTCAAATATTTATTCAATGATTAATGGCACTCAATAGGAATGGGAGCTACAAAGAGTGGTAAAAACAAAATAAGGCAAAAAAACCCAGAACCCTTGATGTCATGAAGTGACTATAATAACCAAGGCCAATAGAGTCTTTTGATTCCAAAAGATATACTACTTCATATAGATTTACCTCTCTCTGAATGCATCCTGTTCTTGGAAATATTTTCTTTGTTGCTAGCAAACTAGCTGTGAGATCTATAGTATGGCATAGTCTTGAGTTCAGTTCAATTTTCACTACTTAGTAGATGTCTGACCTCAGGATATTTAACTTCCTCAACTGGGAGGTTGACTATATATCCTGCCTAGTTCAGTGTTGGTTTGGGGTTCAAATGAGATAATACATGGAAAGCATTCTGTACTACATAAATGCAGTGATTTATCTGATAGCTCCCCAAACAAGTCTATAAAGTTGTAGCAGATTCGAAATGAAGAGATTGGAAAGAGCTTTGCGAAATAACAAGCTCTGGGCAACTGAACACACATATAAGTCATTATGCAACTGCTAAAGTTCTTGAAGTGCCTATTCTCTATCAGTGATCTTGGTGGACTGCACCTGGGCTGAGAGGGCTGAAAATGTAATGCATGTTTACTACTTTCATTACGGGCTTTTGACATATTATCAGGGTACTTAGTGAGCCTTGAAAGGCATAAAATATGGAAGGTTAATTCCTATAACCCAATGCAATTTTAATACAGTTTTATGTGTTAAATTTAATAAAAATTGGTCAATTAAAAAAATTACACACACTAAAGGCAGTAGTTTATATGTTGATCAAAGATATATGTTGTTGTTGTTAGGTGCCATCGAGTCGTTACCAACTCACAGCGACCTTATGCACAGCAGAATGAAACACTGC